TTCAGTTGGTGATAGTGTTTCTAGATCTTTTGTTTTTTCTATCACCGAAATTATTGCATCATATCTCTCTGTACAAGAGATTAGAATTTTTTCGACTATTTTCTTGTCAGAAATAGTCTCTCCATAGGCTCTCATTTGATTTACTATTTCTTTTATTCTAGAATAGTAATCWTTTGYAGTCTCATTATCCTTCATCTTAAGATTTTCAAAATCCCTTCTAAACTTCTATAATTTAACAGTGCATACTTTGACAGATCCTTGAAACTCCTCCTACAGTGTATCTCATGCTTTTTTTGCAGTTGATGCGCCCATAATTCGAGGAAATATCTCCTCAGCCATTGCTTGCTGCAAGCAGAATAGTGCTTGACAATCTTTTTGTTGATTCTCTTCATAGATCTTCTTTTGATTTGCTGAAAGAGTAGAGATGTCTTCAGCAATGCAGAATCCTTCCTCAACGATTCTTCATAAACTTTGTGACCGAAAATAGGTCTTCATTTTGATGGACCAGAAGTCATAGTTTTCTCCATTAAAGATTGGAAGAGAAAGGGTGGAAAAATTGGCTTCTGCACACATACTGTTTAGAAGAAATCACGCCCAAGAGATTGATCGAACGAGCTCTGATACCACTGATGGTTTGTGGATGATAATAACAGTAAAAAAATAGTAAAATATATAATAGAAAAGAGATAAAAGAGCTTAGTAGATCGAGAGAAAATTATGTAGATGTATTCTGTTGTTTCTCTCAGATATCCGAATCAGTACAGAAGAGAGGATTTTATAATAGATGGAATTGGTGAAGGTGAACCGACTTACATTGAACGAAGACTGTCATTAATTCACCTTGGGAGCAGAATCGACTAACTTTGGAATTACCTGACTTTGAAAAATGTAACGACGCACATTGGAATGTAGCAACTTTAAAGAGAGCTTTACTGTTCTTCGAGAAAACTGATTCAATGATTCTGGGAAATGTGAAGCAACATTCAATAGTGCGGTATCCTTGAGGAAGTACTCTTCTGGGTCATGCCATCTTTCTCTGCATAAATCTGAAGGAACTCCAGCAAGAAGCAGGCATCAACGGCCATATCCAGGCTAGAGTCTCACCGTCAACATCCAAGTATCTGTGGTAGTGGGAACGGATCCTGGTTTCATGCTTCATGAGTTTGGTGATCAAGTCTTGGAACTTAAGACTCTGGAGTTGCTTTTGGGTCCTCTTGTCTGCAGCCAGCTTGTATCTCTCCATCTCGTAGAGCTCTGGACGCCAGTGGTGATACGGGCCTAGAGCGACTAGTTGTGGGACGTAGGCTTCTGGGTTGGTGGAGATTAGAGTTTTGGGCACGTTGAAGATGCAAACAGGGATGCCGCTCTCATCTTCAACATCTTCATCGAGGATCTGACGGATTTGGATGACCCAACGCTCATCACGGCTGGAATTTGAATTCAAGGCCATGGTAAACTGTGTAGACATGTTCATGGATGGTCTATCTATCTTCTGTTGGTCTCTGGCTCTGGCGTGAGAGTTTGAAGTTCTCTGTGAAGTGAGCCAGTGGTCATGGATGGAATGTAAAATTAAGATGGAGCTAGCTGTTTATAGAATGAAATAAGCAATTAATCAACATTTAACATTCAGTTGTTTTACTCATTTTTCACGTTTAGTTACAAGCTTTCTTTTGTAAGAGTCCAATAATGGATCCCTGCTGGTCATTAAACACTCTTGGTCGGTAAGATATTGAAATCCACCGTGGGAGGGACAGCGATATTTCATTTGTTATTTCCCGGTTTTTTATCTGGATTTGCGTTGAAAGGTTCAAAGGTAGAGTAGTATATATATATATATAGATAGATAGATAGAGAGAGATTGTATTCACAGTCAATATAAATGTAAGACTACTTATAGTTATAAACTTGTGTATTTTGTTTTTGTTATGAAATCAATTACAAATTTAAAGGGCTAGACAGGGGCCGATCAAAATGGACATGGGCATGGGTCCAATTAATAATAAATGATTTTATTAGTCGTCGTAATTTAACAATGGATTTGACATCAGACTAGAATGACGAAACTAGATTTATGTAGTGGACCCATATAATTAGAATAAGGCTCAGATGATGATGTAAATAAAATAATTATCTTTTTAATAAAATTTAAGGTGGCTGCGCCTCCACCTTGAATAAATTTTGAAAAATCAATTAAAAAACAAAGGCTGTGTTTGTTTGATTTCGGTGGAGAAATGATCAATGTGAAATTCAATCGATGGAAAAACCAATTAATGGGTTTAAAATTTTAATGGACCATTGGAGGTTTTTTTATATGATAAATTGATGTAAATCGATGTACATTTACATCAATTATTGATAGAAAAGTTAGCCGATTAGATGATTTACATCGATTTATCATAAAAACTTTACATTAAAAATAAATAATAAAAATATAAACCAAATATGAAGTTTTACAACAATCCCTATTTACACTGAAAACAAATGTAGAGATTTACCTTAATTCACATTTACACCGAAATCAAACTCAGCCAAAGTTGAAATCATATCTTAGAGGCAAATTTCAAATTAATTTCTTTTAACAGTTTTCACTAGGAGAATTTCTAGCCATATGACCCATAAGACTCACTTTTTGTGCAATCAAAGAACAGAATGACAGGCAGATTATTACAGGCACTTCGATTGATGCATTTGGAACAGTACTGCTTAATTTC